GAAGACCTACAGGGTGATATCTGAAAATGTGATAATTTTCGAAAAGTTTCATATCGCCCCGTGTGGCAAGGATCTTCTACCTTTCATTGAGGACGATAAGATGAAGCATAATGCGATTTCTCGAAATAGTTTTTGATTCAGGAGAATTCATAGAGGATGTTGTGATATATGGAAAGTTTCACAATATATTGCATTCTGATACTTCAACAGAATTTCAGATCAGCTTATCCTGCTCAACGCTTTCACTATAAATTGTGTTGTAGATTTTCAAACATACCGGGAATCATCGAATTTTTCAGACAAGCTATGGTTTTCAGAGTTCCGAAGGTATAATATTCAAATTTGGTAGGAATGTAGGATTCGAGAATTGGTTAATTTTGCAATGTTTCATACTCTCCTATCACTTCCGGTTTCACCAGAAACAACCCCAAGTTTCAATTTTCAAATGGGACATCTTGTATATCATTCCATATGTGGTTAGGGATTCTAAATAATCGTATTGAACCCATTATCGTTGAATTTGTTATGATAATCTCTAACTGATTATGAAATAAAATACAGGGTGTTCCGTTTCCCTGCCAAGTTTGAATATTATACCTTCGGAACTCTGTGGAAGGTATGGCTTGTTAAATCACACGCAGTAGAGAATGTAAATAAACAAAAATACTTTTAGAAAATGCAGATGAAAATCACCACAATATTTTTAATGGACATTATCAATCAGCTACCAACAAATTCAATTGATACTGTCAATCGTCAATATGTTATTGCACCTTCCGTAGCAGCTACGAGAGACCTCATTCTTCTTGGCATACTGGTTATCCATTAATGAAATCTTGGGGAATAGCTAACCACTCATCCAATATCGAGTCCTCTAATTGGATAAGATAAGATCATTTTACCTTTCCTTCTATACGTGTTTCATCGGATTCATGTCGGGAGAAAGTTTTTCTTCATTTTTTGGAGCGCACGAAAAATAATCCCTACATTATGTTGATGGAACATAGTTCGAACCTAGGAAGGTTTGGGAGAATTGGTAGGCAATATTATATTGTCTCAAAACTCCAATCACAATTATCGCATGGGTTAATTCACTATTTCTGTATTCATGAAATTGTCACCAAAAGTATTTGGCAACTGAAACGACAACTTCTCTAACACAACTTATATCTTGATACCAGAGACCATTCATACTCTGCCTCGAAATATCCAACGTGGAGCGACGATTCATCATGATACCTCCTCATGTCAATTTTTCATAAGAAATATTTTGTTACTAATAATCAACTGCATTTTTCCTCGTAGTATTTCAATGTATCCCTACATTAGTTGAAAATATAGAACACATCGTACAGTATTGGCGTTGAAGCTATGCCAATCTGAAATTCTGTTGAAGTTGAGTTTATGGTGGATGAACATATGAGAATGCGATATGTTGTGAAAAATTCCATAAATCGAAACATCCTGTATGAATTCTCTAGAATTCAAAATCAATTCGAGAAAACTCATTGTCCTTCATCTTATCGCCTCCAATAAAACATTAAAAAAATTCCCGGTGAAACGGAGCGATCCCAAACTTTTCGAAAATTATCACATATTCAGATATCACCCTATACTGGTCATCATGTCGGAAAGGTGGAATAACGAGAACGAACTGAAGTTGTACTCTGTTAGCATCTAGCAACTAGATGCGCCACTGCTCAGTGGAATGTGCTTAGATCAGAGCCTATGACAGACGTGTGTGAAGACAGGTTCATATAGTATTCGGCTGATGGCAGCCGAGTTGTGAGCAAGTGTAACCCTTGTCCATGTCATTTGTGCTCGTGTTTTTTATATTATGACCATAATATAACATACCCAATGAAATGTGCTATTACAATCTTGAAAGAAATTGAAAATTGGTTGATCCAATCCAAAAATGTGACGGTTCGAAAAAGATAGAACTGTTTGCTTGTCTCTCACTTCAAATGTGGGGCAGGTTCATAATATAATCCATTAGCTTCAATTTAATTGGATGATGCAGTCTGAAGACTTTGGCTGGAGCAAGCTGAAGGACAGTATGGTCATTAGACAGAGACTGACAAGTATCGCAACTCCTCATAGTGGTGCTGAAAGGACAAAACTGATCTAAAAAAAATTGTGTTGTTTTAAAATTGTTCTGATCCATCATCCGGTTGCCCCCTTACCAGCAACTCTCAGATGGCTTCAAGAGACTTGTGCGAGCAAAGAATGACAGAGGCCTTACATTTCAACGTGTGATCCCAAACACTTTCTTAGGCCATAAGAAACGAACCGGAAATGCAACGTGAATAGAATACTGACGCTTGTACCACCCGGCTACCTGACCATATATCAGAAAAATACAGTCGATATGGGTAAGACGAAGAAAGTACTACGGCGAATGTGAGGCTAGATTCGAAAACTTTGAAGTTGATACACTACGCAAAAAAATCAATCAACCTAGGGTGGACAGTGAACAATAGTGAATCTCAATCCCTCAACTTACATAATGATGTACCTCAGGTATAGATTCTGGGGCCATATTCATTCCTTATACAGGGTGTTTCAATACTAATTGGAAATATTACTAATATCGAAATATATGAAGATTTAAAAAATGCAAAAATTATTTGTGCCTATAGTACTTCGAAACTAATGTACCTCAGGGATAGATTCTGGGTCAATATTCATTCCTTATACAGGGTGTTTCATTACTAATTGAAAATATTACTAATATGGAAATATATGAAGATTTAGGAAAATCAAAAATTATTTGTTCCTATAGAACTTTGAAACTAATAGACGAATCATTTTCATATTTGTCGAAAAGCAGAGTTCCATACACCTTACTGAATTATGTGAAATAAAGGTTTCTTGCTAACACCAGAGGCGTACGACAGGGAGAAGTAACTGGTTGATCCTTCCCAAAGGTTAAATCGCAATTTATCCTTTAATGAACTGCTTCCAACAATGAGGTTGAAAATGTGATTATCAATAAATTTCATAAAAGTTTTCAACATGTTGTGGCTATAACTAGTATTTACCGATTACACTGTGCTAATTCATTGTTATGTTACCAAAATCCAAAAAAAACTACGTGTACATCATGTCAGCCATCCTCAACAAAGATACTCCCTGAAGATGATAATAATAAGATTTTCGAAAGCTTGAACAAACTTCAAAGAGTACTCTTTCGACTTTTGCTGAATCCCCAATACTCCCTAGTTATGTATTCCTAACTATAGTCAGCAACGACTATACCCTTTTCAAATATGTAGCTAAACTTCCGCCACATGAAGTCCTAGTATAATCATAATCATTATTATTATCATACTGAGCACTATATTTTATCAAAGCTATATGGTTACCTCTTCTGATGGCTCTTTCGATGGGTTGTTATTGTACAGGTTACTGTGAACATCACATCATTAGAGCGTGGGCGCTCCCTTTGAAGTCACTTCAACCAACCTCCATCAAAAGTTCGTATGACCACTTTTTGGTTATTTATTCAAACCTCAATGGACATCATTATCTGAAACTATTTGACTCATCGAGAAAAGTGAAATGAATCTACTATTCTCAGATCAATCAATTTGATTTGCTAGGAGTTATTACTAAGATAGTCAGGTGAAGTTGGCATTCAATCATCGTTCTGCTGTTATAATTTCCTTCTTATTCACAGCAATTCCAGATGCACAAACCATGTTCATTTTTATTTGAAGTTCGCGTGATATGCAAAGCTTAACCATTATTTTCGTTTTGCTCTGCTCTGTTGTTACATATTGCTATTTTTAGTTTCGGAAACTTACGATTCCGTTCTTGATGCGAAACTCCCTCGAGCAAAATAAGAGCGCAACCTTTACCAATTCAAAAACTTTCCACCTCCCGTGAAAGGAAATAATTCTTTTCGAGCTAATCGATAAAATTCGAGCACGATTATACTATGATGAAATTTTTAAACACAGTACAATCATTAGACTAACATAAAAAAAATTGGAACACCTTTCAAGCATTGATGTTCAATAACAGCTTAATTATATATACCAAGTGAGCAAATATACTCCTTTACTCCTATATCATGATGATTCTATCTAGTAACACATATTTCATATTTTTTGTATGATGGGATATTAAGGGAATGTAAACTATTAATAATTTTTTATCGTACGGATATGTACCACACTAAATGATCGATTAATCACGGATTGTCCATCTGTGATTTATTCAAAATATTAAACATGTCTGGCCTGTCAATTGTATTAACTGTCAACTGGTATTTTCATATTTTGTATCAGAATTATTCAAACAATATTCGTTTGTATCAGAATTCTTCATTAAAAATATATGCGAAATGTAGACGAAGTGAAATCGAAGAGAATTTTCTGGTACTTGCATATCTCCAAGAAGTGTAAAAATGCAGCATCCAACTTTGAGAACAATTAATTTATTCTGCGCTAAGCATGACAATAAACGTGAAACAAAGGTTAGTAAGCAATGGACTGGACACATCTACAACCAATATCACTCATACGTGTCTCGCTGATTGCATGCAGTTGCATGTATTATGTTCTCAATTCCCATTCCTTTCGAATTATTCTGTAGGTTAGCAGGAATAGCAGGTATGTTAATGTACTTTTCGGAGTTTGTGAAAAAAGCTTAGTATGTAACGCGTTTCTTGAGCTGAGTTTGCATACTTCTTCCTTCGATTCACTGAATAAATGAATTATTTTCTTCGTTGTTCCACCTGGCTTCGAAACAACAATTATTCAGGTAGCTATACTTACCGAAATAGGAAAGTTTCTTTATTTATCTTTAACTTTATTCAACAACAAATTATTGAGGTACTCAACTACAAGAAATGAAATAGTTTCTTCAATAATCTAGAAAGTATTGACGACTGCCTATACATATGAATGTGGAATATATTTTGAGAAAATTTCAAATCACTTATCCTTGATGAAAGTAATGTTCTTTCCTTTCTTCCTTATCACCTCGGCAATATGGAAAGAAAACAAGTAGGAAAGGAAATGAGAAAGGTCAGGAATTAGAGATTAAATGCACATGTAGATAGCAGAACCGACAAATATGAACCTTGATGATGATGACAACAACTGTCACCGTCACAATTGTCACATAATTTTTGGAGTATTTCAATACAACGCGGTGTCTTTTTCAAGCCAAATTGTCTCTATACTGTAATTGTGAATTAATCTTACTAAAATGCATTCGAGAAATGTGCTTATTGATAAATTCATTTCAAATTATATTCAAAATTTTTTGTAATTTCGCAAAAGATCTCGAATCAAGGGAAGTAGAAGAGATCACTCAAGCAAGCTGTCGCCATTTTTTCCCTCCCTTGATTCTCGATTGTTTGCCATGACAATAAAACTTTCAGTACCAGAATTATAAATAATCTTGCATTATCATAGTCATAGTCATAGTCTTCGAGTGGAGAAATTGGAGAAAGCATCACATTAGTGTAATTTACGAATTCATCAAATTATTTTACTGAATTACACTCGAACATTCTTTTTATTCATCGATCATTACGACTGTCTTTCAAGACAGTGCCAACGGTTTATTCAGAGAGTTACAACTGTATATTTAGACAGGTTCAACTATCTATATTCATCAACAATTGTCTTTTATAAAAAAAACGTATACCTAACGCTTTACGCTTTCGTAAATAAACCATCAAACTCACCTCGACCAAACTCTGACCACTTCGCTATAGGCACATATAATTGTGTAGACAGTTGTATCTGTCTATTCAGACAGTTGTAAATTGTCTATTCAGACAGTTGTAACTGTCTATTCAGACAGTTGTAACTGTCTATATAAACAATTGAAACTGTCCAATTAGACAGTAGTAATTGTTTATTTAGAAAATTGTATGTCCTAATATACTGCTACAGATATGTAAATAGACAGGTGTAAGTATGTTCAAGTATGCTCTAATATAAAGTACTGATGACGAATAAATGGAGCATATTATGTAAATCAATAAATGGATATAGATAGTTACACCTGTTCATTTAAAAAACCACAACTGATGTCTATCTCGACAGTTACAGTAACTCTCTATTTAGACTGTCCAATACAACTGATTTATTCAGACAGATATACAACTGTCTATTTGAACAGATATACAACTGTCTAGACAGATACAGCTGTCTATTCAGACAGATACAACTATCTATTGAGGCAGATACAGCTGTCTATTTAGACAGTTACAACTATCTATTGAGGCAGATACAACTGTGTATCGAAACAGTTACAACTGCCTATTTAGATAGTTACAACTGTCCATTAACACAGATGAAACTGTCTATTTAGACAGATGAAACTGTCTATTTAGACAGTACCAGCTGGATATTTGAACAGTTTCAACAGGCTAGTTAGATAGATAGAAATTGTCAAGAAAACTATGAACAGTTTCAACTGTCAGAATAGTTAATTGAAACTGTCAACAAAATATAGACAGTGAAAACAGTCTATTCTTGAAAATAACGTTACGTGAGCCTTCTACGCTTTCGTAAATATCCCATCAAACTCACCTCCACCAGATAGATAGAAATTGTCGAGAAAAATATAAACAGTTTCAGAATAGATAATTAAAACTGTCAACAAAATATGGACAGTGAAAACTGTCTATTCATGAAAATAACGTAACGAGAGCCTTCTACGCTTTCGTAAATATCCCATCAAACTCACCTCCACCAAAATCTGCAAACTCCGCCACCAAAACCTCCCCTCAGTCCATCCAAGTCAATTCCCTGAAAATATTCGCGTCACTCCGAGCGCTCCTCTTCGCGTTCCGTTCGACCGGCGGCGGTTTCGGCGCTCGCGGAAGCTACGACGGCGGCGACGGACTGACTCGCGTCGCGGCGGCGGCGTCGGCGGGGTGAGTTGTTGGTGTCGACGCCGTCACCTGGTCACGACGCTCGCGGGGAGACTCGCGCACCAGGGTCGCTTCGGGAAGGAGACCTTGGGGCCTCTGATGTGTCATTTACAGGGTCATTCCGTATACAGGGTGGTTCCTGACTTCTTTGAAAAAATGAGAGGAAATGATCTTCACTCAATTTTGAGACCAAAATGTAGAAATTTTTATTTGAAAGTTGCCTAGTGTTCAAATTTTTATTTTAAATCGGTTTTTCATTTTTATTCCAGATATAATAATGATAATAATTTTTTTCTCTGGCGGGAAAAAAGTTTGGCAATTCATCTCTGTTGGCAGGTTATAAAATGTCACTTTTCATGAATAACTTCTTTCCTGTGGAAAAAAAGTGAGTACTTTTTCCCCAGATATATATCACATATATCCACACTGTTGATGGCTTTTGTTGTGCTATAGTTCCGAAAAATGAGTCAATGATACCGTCTCCGTGAAAGAACTGCAAGTCCTTTTATCTTCCATTCGACTTCGCGGTTACGTATATTATTAAACAACTACTAAATTCGCAGTTTTTTGAAATCAAATCACAGAATTAGACTGTCAGAAGTGACATCAGATATTTATTTGATTACTTCAAAAGAATGATAAAGATGCCTACAACGCAGGTGTCCCTACTGTTAAAAACTCAAAATTTCACGTCGGTAGTCTTCAGATTTCAAAATAATGTAATATCTTCTCAATATCGATTCGTCCTTTCTTCTGTCACAGAAGAAAATAGTGTATTATACACGGGAAATATTAGATTTTAGATCACGGTTTTTTGTCTCCCTCAACTACGCGTCGGGAGACAACACAACCTGGAGCTAAAATCTATAATACTACTTTTTTCCCTTGTATAATAAATAACTATTCATGTGACGAGAAAAAAGTTAGACATTTTATTTCTGTTGGCAGGTTATGAAATGTTACTTTTCATAGATTACTTTTTTCTACCCCTTTCGAGCTTTGTGGTATCACGGTGAGCATATTTACGTTTCCTATACAGCCAGTGCGATTGGTCGCTCTCACGAGATAGGGAATGGAGTGCATACTGGAGCACTCCGTTTCCTAGCTGATATGTGCGACCAACGACCATCGGCGTTCCCGCCAAGGTAGAAATTGATTGCAAATTGTTCAAGCAAGCTCTATGCGAGAGTGAAATCGCCAGTGCATATATGAATCTTATTGAATATTTCGACAGAATGTGGCAGAGAAGACAGGATTGGTGTCATTGTTTTCGAAATAAACTGTGCAATAGGGGCCATAATACGAACAATTTAGTAACTACAAAGATGTAAGGCTTTCAACACAGTATCCTTAGTAGAATTGATCTCTTTATCACTGGAGCACTTCTACAAAGAACAATTGTTGCGTTATGCTAGCTCCAGGGATAACAAATTGTTAATTTATTTTACGAAATCTTGCAAAAAATCGGTTGATCTTTGTGTTGTGAAAGTGTCTGAAGATCAGTTAAAAGTTACTTCAGCTGCAGATGAGACATTTTTGTACCAAGTCAATACAAAGTTGGAAGTGTGTGACTGTCCAGAAGGGGCAGGAGGGAAATTTTGCAAGCATCTGTGCGCTTTATATAATACTGGTGTGCAGATGCACAACGTTCCTAATATTTTTACAAGACAAAATAGAACTTGCTACGTTAGCACTTGGAAATACTATCAGTATAGTGCCAACTTCTTCAAAGATGGATAAAGAAAAAGTTAACGAAATTACTGTACATTTTGGCGAACCTATGATGTTGGAAACGGAAGATTGCCTTAATGAGACGACTCCTGATGAAGAGAATAATGTTTCGGTTGAAGTGAACGAAACTAAAACTGATGGATCAGTCGAACTCAAAGAATTCAAAGACAACTTGAAAAAGATTATCAGCTTCGTGGAATCTCATCCAGCACTATTGCCTATTGTGACGAAGTTCAATAGGCAGATGAAGAAAATGGACAGCGAAGCTTCGTTCTATGCTCTATGTTCCTCGTTTACTAGTCAAAGTCTTACATTGCTAGAAGAACATCTGCTTACAGAGGTGCCAAAGCTATACAAGCGGGTCGGCCATCTAGCAGCGGAATAAGTTCGAAAAATATACCTCACAAAAAGCGTTCATTAATAGTAAACATCCTACAAAATACCACGAACGCTGTAAGTCATGGTAGTGCGCACTAATAATTATTTTCGATTACTTTCATGATCTTCATAACCAGTAAGATGAACAAAGTAATCTGAAACTGAAAAGGATTTCTACTGGTTCGACGATATATTTTGTTTATATTTTTTGTATAGTTGAATATTCCGCATGAATAAACTTCCGTTTCATTGTCAAATTGTGTCTTCTTCAGACTGAAAATTAGTGTGGAAAACAAAATCTGTAAATAATCCTGAACCATGCACCACAGAGCAGCCGATGGTCGTTTATCGTTAGTCGCGCATATCAGCTAGGAAACGGAGTGCTCCAGGATGCACTCCATTCCCTATCTCATGAGAGCGACCAATCGCACTGGCTGTATAGGAAACGTAAATATGCTCACGGTGATACCACCTTTTTTATATTTTTGATCAGAGTTGTCCAGTGGTTTCATCGTGCTACCGCCGTGTGAATTGTGTTGTCAAGTGACCGCGCGGTATATATCATTGGATTTGGCCACGTCAGACGATAAAAATGTGCGCTGAATGTCTCAGGTGCTGCACGTATTTGTCTCGTTTTTTTGATTTACTAATATTGAAATAATAGTACATGGTTGATCCTCTTGATTTTTTTTTATGTTCTGGTTCCCACGAAATGGGATATCCTGTAATATTCAGATAACATCGTGAGAAGCAAGGGAAATGAGATAGGAATTGGTGTTCTTCTAAAATTTCTGGAGGTGTTATGCCTCGGGGAACACCTCCCTTGGCGATGTGTTTCAGAGCCTCCCTGTTCGTTGGATGAACGAGTCTTTGGAAAGAGATGTTCTGCAGGTCTCCAAAGTGACCACGAAGGGGTGCGAAGCCTCAACTCGACGGGTTAATCTTGCGGGGACTACCAAGGAAGGAACAATTGTTGATATTTCAGAAGAGCATCGTCCATGAAAATATCTATAAATTAGAGCCAGATCGCCAACTTTTCTGCGGTGTTCCAGAGAAAGTGAAGGAGTTTGTGAGCGAGGCATCACCCACGAGACGAATTGACCTTTTTTGGACAGAATCCAACATTTTCAGGGTATGCTTGGATGCTGCACTCCAAATATGGGAACAGTATTCCAGGACAGGTCGAATATGTGCCTTATAGATCATAAGCAGCTGACTGGAAGTGGAATAGCTCCTAGCCCGAAACAAAAAACCAAGTTTTTGGATGCACCCTTAGCAATTGATCTCACGGGATTTTCCGAAAGTTTATTACTGGTAAAATAGAATTTCCATAAAAAATACCGATGACGTAGTTTCTCATACAAGTATCTTTGAATCTGAAAAAATAAAAAATTCGACGTCTAGCGTTTTTCCCAGAAAGTTATTCCATTAAGTTTCAACGAATTTATTCAGTAATTTACGAAATCACCTGATTTTACAGACACATTGTATAAAATCTATATTTTTTTATTTCGATTTTCATGGATATTTCGAAAATTGAATGATATATATAGGGTGTTCCATTTCAAATAGTTGACACGGACATGATAATTACAACGTGAATCCCCCTGAATATTCAATATCCTCGTATAGATGTGGCAAATTGAAATCAAAAGTCGACTTATTTCAAGAGATTCTTCAGAAATTGGTAGTTTTACTGAGAATGAATTTATTCAGAACATTACCCTTCATTGTATGACGAAGAGAAGTTGGTATTTTTAGCACCTCTCATATTTGCACATCGTTCTTACCTGTATCGGGAGCATGCGCTGAGGAACTTCCAGCTTTTATAAAATAACGAAGGTCTGTCGTTCATGGGATCTTGATGGACTATAATTAAGCGGATCGAATGAAAACATTTGAAGATTATAGGAAAAATTATCATATCTTGAACTTACCACGAAATAAAAATCAGATTGAAATATACATATGTGCCTTTTACAAGAAGTCAAGAGCCATTGCCGAAGCTTAACAACGACAAATAATGTGACTTGTTGCGCCTTGCCCACCCTGGAGTACTTTTGGTAGAGGAAGTTTTCATCGATTCTGTAAGAATATGAGAGAAAGTGCTGGTTTAGATGGGCATGTAAAGCCACAATAAAATATCAATATCCAAATAAGTAGTTTTCAATCACACATCATGATGAAAACATATTGGAAACATGGTGATCATTGATGTCTCGAGGTTGATGGTCCAATATATAGGTATCTCCTCGAATATAATCGGTGCATATCTTCATCGACAACCAAAGATATCATTGCCTCCAGCAAATGATCGGGTAGTTCACCATCACCGCATCTTCATCACTATCAAAAACTGTTGTTTCAATATTATTGCAAGTGTCCTAACAATGAAGACACAATATTGAAGAAGAGCCGTGCCTTTTTATAGCTGCATTCTTCCTGGACTTGCGCAGGATATCTTTTGCAAGACCGAATCAGGTGCCGGTGGGTCAGAGTTGTCTCAGCTTGAAACCTACCGTTTGTTTATTCCCAACAACAATCGCTCGCTATATGCTCGCAAGTTTAAATATCTCGATCATTAATCGCCCTGATTAATACACTAGTTGGGTAAATAACTATTATTGGTCTGTTGTGACGTAAAAAAATACATATTCTTTTGTTTTTCTACATACTTACATGCCAACGGAGGGTACACTGAATAGTTAGGTGAGAATATACTTATATAGGATTCAATATATTTTATTGTTCTGCTGTGACGTCAAATAAAATATACATTTGTTGTTTTTCAATATTCATGGCAACGAAAGGTACCCTGAATAGTTAGGTAATAATATATATCCAGGATATAAACATACAATTATTTATCACTACACCACATTCACATAACTACCAGAATTGATGCTTTCAACATATTTTTTTCTGCATTCCATATTATCGCATGGTCTGTTATGAGGTGTCCAAACTGGTTCCCCGATGAAGAATCTTCTTGCTTTTATATAATTCTGAAAACAAAATTACTTGATTGATAAGGAAACTATAGTGGATAGGGCAATGATTAGAGGGTTGATGACTGTGATAAGTGAAAAACGAACATATTTCCAATAGACATATGAGAAATAATAAGACAAAGATGGTGCTATTATTATTTCGTCAATGCTTAGAGGAGGCATTATCACCCCTTCACCCCTCCTTGGGTCCGCTCCTGAGTCGCTGATGTGCCATATTCATTTTCTTTTGTTTTAACTAATTTTTAGTGAGGAAATCAAGAATTGTTTGGTCTTGATTTTTGAGGTTCTTTATTGTTTTCCTCCCAAAGTATATAAGTCAATCTGTATAGGTATAGCCATTCTTGTTCTCTCATTTCAACCTACCCAGATAGCACGAATATTCTCAGAATATTCTTACAAGCTGCGAAAATGTAATCATGTAGAATATTTTAAGGAATATTCGTATAAGTTTCTTAGAATGTTCACCTTTGATTATAGGGGCTGTTTGCGTATTATCCTACTGATGAAATGTTGACATCTTGTCATTCATATATCATTAATTCATCAAAAAGGGTCGTAGCTCAGTGCTAATTAGGGTATCAGGTTTGCAATTATTTAATCACAAGAGAGTATAGGTTGGCATCCCCACCGGAGCGAGTTTTCTTGTATTTCCTTCAATAATATAATAATATATATATGTACGTCCCTAAAAAAATGTGTATTATATTCTGAGAATATTCAAATAATGAGCAATAAATATTTTGATAACGAAATCAGAGAATCTCGAGAATATTCCGAGAATGTACAGAGAATGTTTAATTCAGTCCACTGTGAATGTCTATACAATATGTATAGAATATATTCAAAGTGTATTGTGGAAACATATTCTGAGAACATTCAAATGTTCCATCATGTGCTTCTATGAATTTAAAATTTGTAATGATTTTTATGATGATGATTCAAAGTGAACAATTTATTGGTGTTGATTTTTCATTTTTTTTAGGTGTTTTCAATCGATATTTCCAAATTATTCTCCTTCTGGAGGATGTGAGTCAATTTGGATATAGCCATTCTTTTTCTCTTCTTTCAACTTATCTTCTGACAAAATCTAGAGTCACTGGATGGTATTAGTTAGATAAACAAAACCAACGTGAAGAATTGATTGGTTTTAATTTATAAGGACTCACAAAATTTTGCCGGATAGCTCAGCAAACATCGAATCTCTGGCCGCCTTCTGGCCCAATGCATGATCAGTCTGCAGAATGCTGGCAGCAGCTGAGCTGCAACGGGTAAACATCGGCCCTTTGTATTGTATATTAAAATCGTTTAACTATAATCCAGCCGTATCTGCGCTTCACCAGACTTTATCATATGATATTACCTACACATATCAGCCCTCTCCTGTGTAATTCCGATAAAAGATGGCTACTTATCATGAAAAAGTTCCAAGAGAAATTTTATTTTGTAGTTGGAAAATACCTATTGGGAAATACTTAATCATTTAGGACATAATTTGATATAAAAATGATGAAATATGTATTCTTCTATTCTTTATGATCAATAATAGTTTTCTAACGTCATAATATATCTAGTTAACTTGGTTCGACTGAGTCATCATATTTCCCTAAAAAATTCGATGCAAACTCAAGTGAGTCACAGAAACTCGTCTATTACAGCTTTTCGGAGAATCAGAGATTGTTGTCATCTGTTATATATGATATGATTATCGACTCATAAGTCATCCGTACTCAATATCCAACAAGAAATCAAGTTCAGTTGTTACAATCCCGGCTTCCTCAGTGAGATAACCTATCTAAAGGGCTAAGCCCTAGGAGATAGGCCGCTGTGACAAACACCTCGCATATGCACTCGCATTCCTTGGCTAACACCATCCACCTCTGCATCAGGGGGAGGAATTCAGATATACAGTTTTAACATGTACATAATCTTTTATTTATATACTGTGTCTGTCGACTTTAATACGGCTTCGTAATCCAAAGGTCGCTCGAACGCGGTGGCCGGTCACTTCTCTTTTTAATTTTAGGCGTGATGGCATACAGGCATCGGTCCGGCCGTCGGCCACAGTGACCTCTATTTACGTCGAACCGACGTCGATTGCCCTCTTTTGCCGCGTCGACACTTACTGGCAAGCAGGTTTTGAGCCAACGAAATAACAACCGAAATTGTTAGCTGCGGAAGAATTGAATATTCTTCATTCTTAAGATTTTTTCCATCACATTTTTCCAATTGCTTTCCTACTGAGTTATGTAAGTCAATGTGTCACAGCTATAATTTGTTTCTCATTTCAAATTATTGTGGAGGAAATCAACGTGAAGGATTGATTGGTTTTGATTTTTTCAGGATTTTAAATCTTTTTTTTTTCAATTGCTTCCCTTCCTATGGTAGGTGAGTCAATGTGTATGTATATTGTTTATGTCAATTCTTTTTCTCTTGATGAATTGAAAATCGATTTCATGCATCTCTCAAACGTTCTTGAAACTAAAATTTGATCAGTATGCTGAAATCCTCTTTCCTTCCTTTTCTGATGACTCAAATATAATTTGACTAAAATATGAGTAAACTGAATGAACGTTGTTCGGAATAATTAGTATTTAATCAACTGAACTGGTTAATTCATATTACATGAGAGATGATATGATCAATTTGAAATCCTGCGGATTCGGAAAGAGCTATATTTCATGCCTGCATGCATAAATAATTTGAAACATATTCGTTTTATATTGGTTTGATTTTTCCTTTGATTCGTGTACATGAGATATCAATTCAATCAGAAACGTACCTACCCCATTGATTTTTTTTTCAAACGATTATTATTATTTTAAATGAAAATTAGTTGAAAACATTCAGAATAGTCAACTCATGGGTTTTATTTTTATCAAGATGAATGTTAAGTCACTGGTTGGAACTATATACCTTGTCCTATTTTCCGAGGTACCAATATATATACCCACCTTCTCATCTAAAGTGAATCTGTGATAGATTCCACTAGGTAAAATCAGAAGATCTCCACGGACTACTTCAATCCTGATCCATTCATCATTTTTGTCTCTCACATCAAAATATCCAGAGCCATCTGTGACAAGTCTGATTTCTTCATCAGTGTGCAAATGTTCAGTGTAAAAAATTTTCAGTTTTTCCTGGTAATTCTGCAGGCATTTCTCTGAGCAAACCATTTCATCCTCATATGTGTAACCCCTATCCTTTTTCAATTTGTCCAGGACTCCATCAGAGTTGATAGTGTCCAAATTTATCTGCAAAAACCAACCAGAACTCAGTTCATCTATAATATGTCAATCATTCAAGCAACTTGTATAAACTTTTGAAAATAAGAGGAAGATGTTCTATCTACCTGACAAAAGATTACATATCATTCCATTTGATATATGATACGGAGTGATTCGCTATGATAAGAATCAAATATTAAATATTTTCGAAAACTATTTTTCTAATTCAATACCCTCTTGTAAACTCCATCGAGTTCCATGTGAATATTCAGATTACCAATGGAGCATCAGATATATGTGCAAAAAACTCGAGAAACCTAAAGATTATCTTGAGGTTCTATTTATTGCTAAATGTCAAAAAGAATGCTATGCTCTAGTTTGTTCACATATTCAACAACAGATAAACCTCAAACAGGTTGCTTTAAAAGCCATACTTCAATATAACTCAATATAAACTTCACCTTCGAATATATAACGTGTGGAATAAGAAGTTTGTCGATCTACTTCTGCCTCACCCGTAGTATGTTTTCAATGTTCTCAATATTCAAAAATCTTCAGGAGTTTGGGAGATATCTTTACAATATCTCGAGAAAGACTAAAAGATGAGCGTTATGCTCAATATTATCTCAAGACATATCTTTAGTTTTTCGCAAATATCTCAGGAATCTCTCAGAAACCTCTACATTTAGTCATGTAATGTAGAATGTGAATTCTTCAAGGTTAAGTATCAATAATAATGAGCTGACTGATGTCATATAGCAATCTGACAATTCGTATGTCTCATTAAAGATATCAAGAAAAATGTGGCGACGACAATGACAACATACAACCGTAGCTACGCCAATGCTTCACGAAATTCAGAAATGGAAACTCCATGTGAATACATTGATCAATCTGGAATAGTACGTATATGCCAAGATTCAATTTTGTAATGACAGTTTTTTTCGTACTATTGATACCTCTGTATCTTAGAGAGAATATATTTTAGGACAAACCTCCATTTTAACTTTTCATCTCAAAATGAGGTGAGGAATCCGCATACGAAGTTTGTCGGACTCATTCTGACTCATCCTGTATATCATAACGGAGAAGAGATGTGCGAGTCAACCGTATAGTAATACCGTTGATTGATGTATTACGCTTACGCTTAAGCGTAATGTATCAATCAACGGTATAAGCGTAATATATCAATCAACGGTAATACCTATATATAATATTAGACGCAGGGTTGCCATCTCTTCGTCGGTAAATCAAGAGTTTTTAATTGTCAACGTAGTCATAGCGGTTTATATGTAGATATTCTGATCACATGAATTGGCGACGGATATGAATTCACATTGAAACATTCTAGACGAAGAGATAAGTAGAGAAGAGAATGACAGATGACCGGGTTTGTTTTCATCATTTGCTGTGCCACTTCTGCCACTTTTGAATAATATTTTGCATAATCGATATGGTTTGAAAAATTATGCAATGCTTGTGGAGATTTTATTTTGCCTGAATCAGTTTTGAAACCTAGCGGTTTCTTTCGTATCTTTTTGCAACATTTCATGTTCGGATTGTGTTCAGCAGCTGGCCACAACTGATTATGCGTTATCCCATTTCAGTATGTAACATGAATCATATTATTACAGATTATTCATTTCACAGAAAGTACCTAAGTATATATATTTACTCGAAATTATGAGAAAGTTCTCTAAACATGGAAGTAGAAAGTATGTATGTATATAAACTACTCAACACTAATTTCGTCGCACACCAAAATGTCGCTTCTGTTATAATGTGAATACTTTTTTTCAGTTTAGAACAATTTGAATTTGGTTCACACTGTTCGATAGCCCAGTCCTTCAGCTATAATCTCGTACTTCATTGAAACATAAGGGTATTCACATAAAATCTCTACATGGTGTTTTCCGACACTGTGCGAAATTTCGGAATATTCAAAAGGCTCTCAAATGGTGGAAAAAAAATTTTTCTCAACTTCGACAACAGAGGCATGAAGATGATCTCATTACCTCGAGATATTTCGCGAATCAACTTCCTATCTCTCTTATTTACAGGGTGATCTCAAAAAATCAACTTTTTGGTTTTGCAGCCATAACTTTTTTTTACGTCAACCGATTTTGAAAATCTTAGGCTCATTTTGAAGATAAAACTTCAGATGAAGAGATCTGAATATCAGAATTGACTCAAGATGGCTATCAAAGATCTAGAGTTTTCTTGAAAGTGACCCAAATCTGGAACGCCCTTCAAATCTTGGTTGGGAGGAGAATTGAATGAAAATCAACTTGTTCTCGGAAAAACAATTCATTCTGGATGCGTTCATATTTTCCTCGCTCTCAGTAGTCAAGAATTGTGCGTGAGAAAACACAACTGAAACATGTTCTTGCAAAAACATTAGATCATTTCTACTCTGTAATGCATGGCCCGCCGTAACCAACGTTACAAGAATCACAATGAGTGACTGACAAACCCTCGGACAAACCCGACAAGCTGAGACTCATCATAAATGGTGTACAAACAAAAGCAACGAATTTTGATTTTTTCAATAAAGTGATTTTTTTAACAGTTGTCACGTACATAACATGCGATTTAAGAATATGGAGAAGTATTCAAGCAAACAACGTTTATTTATTGTGAACACGCATTTCAAAAATGGTGAAAGTTTCACGAAAACAGTTTGCCAATTACGTGGAGTTTTCAGTCGCAATAATGCGTCGAACGAATCGACAGTAATAAACAAAAAATTCGTGTCGAAGATAAGCCCTTTGAATGGATCGGACTGTCGTGTTTAGCAGATCCCTCATTTGTGGAATCAGTTCCAACTGGTCGGTCGTTAGATGCGGCATCGAAACTATCAAAATCTGTTTATGATTCGAAAACGGCGTCTAACCTGACTTGTCAGTCACTTACTGTGATTCTTGTAACGTTGGTTACGGGCCATGCATTACAGAGGAGAAATGGTCTGATGTTTTTGCAAGAACATGTTTCAATTGTGTTTTCTCACGCACATTCTTGAGTACTGAGAGCGAGGAAAATATGGACGCATCCAGAGTGAATTGTTTTTCCGAGAACAAGTTGATTTTCATTCAATTCTCCTCCCAACCGAGATTCGAAGGGCGTTCCAGATTTGGGTCACTTTCAAGAAAGCTCTAGATCTTTGATAGCCATCTTGAGTCAATTCTGATATTCAAATCTCTTCATCTGAAGTTTTACCTTCAAAATGAGCCTAAGATTTCCGAAATCGGTTGACGTGGAAAAAAGTTATGGCTGCAAAACCAAAAAGTTGATTTTTTGAGATCACTCTGTAAATAAGAGAGATAGGAAGTTGATTCGCGAAATATCTCGAGGTAATGAGATCATCTTCATGCCCCTGTTGTCGAAGTTGAGAAAAAAAAAATTTTCACCATTTGAGAGCCTTTTGAATATTCCGAAATTTTGCACAGTGTCGGAAAACACCATGTAGAGATTTTATGTGAATATCCTCATGTTTCAATGAAGTACCAGATTATAGCTGAAGGACTGGGCTATCGAACAGTGTGAACCAAATTCAAATTGTTTTAAACTGAAAAAAGTTATTCACATTATATCAGGGGCGACATTTTGGTGTGCGACGAAATTAGTGTTGAGTAGTTTAGTATATTATATGAGATGGTTGTGAGAATTAGGGATGCCGATTCTGAAATCGATCTTTCGGAGATCGATTTTTCTCGCCCACAAAAACCTATTGTTAATCGATTTTTCTGGAACATGCGATTCATCGAATCGATTATTTCTATATATGTATATGAAGATCGATCTCGAACTGTTTATATCAATGACTGAGAAAATATCATTCTGTTTCGTATGTTTCTTCGTTATTGGGGATTTCTTTCAATATTTCATCATTTTTCATAAAATTTTGTATTTTATCGTTGCATAATTCACGATATTCCGCAAGTTATCTGGTAGGTATAATATAATGAAACTCAATTTGGAAAAACATTTTATTCAAACTTGGCGCGGTTTGTGAGGTGAATAGATTTTTGAGAATCGATTAATTTTTACCTCGATCTTGTTTAAATCAATTTTTTAGTGAGAGAAGACAATGTCAGAACGTGTTGTACCGGATATGTAGATAGAATTAAGAAGAAGGAACACATATATGGATCAAAATGTAGTAGAAAATGTGGTATTCGTGCTTTTGTGACAGGACGCTTCCATTTTCATCAAATTCAGAAATCAGCAGAGTATCCTTAAAGGCGTATTTTCATTTCCTATTTTTTCTTTACGTATAACCGGAAGTTTCAGGAGGAATCTGAAAACACTTATAATTACAATACAATAATTTACCTTGAAATATTCCACTCCAGAAAGATTAAAAACTTCCTCAAGAGATAGAAACCGAGGTGGATTTCTATGATGTTCTTTCCTTTGATCTGTCTCATCATCGTCCATGTACCAAGCTCGAACCATATTGACAGTTTTATCGGACTCCTCCACTGCTCATACACCTTCCAACTTCATTCAAATTCAAAACAGTTAATAATGATATTCTACGCAACAAAATCTCTACTATTCATAATAAAATAATCTTCATGATCGTGACCTCAAGCTTGTCCTAACCTAAGATTAGAGTTGGGAGCTGGGAATTTATTTCGATAACACCTATCGAATTATTAAAGATAATATCTGGTGGTTCAAGATTCAGAATTCTGATCACCCTGTATCTGTTCCAATCAAATGTCAGCGAAATAACTTGTGCGCGAAATTCAATAGTGTGTAAAATACGCATATTTCGCGCACTGCATATATGTGACTACATAATAAGTATATATGATATTTTTGTATTTCAATGTTTATGGTCCTATCTCAATATCATGCAAATATGGAAGAAATCATATTTATTTCTAAAATATAACACTAATTAAGGCTGTTCAACATTATAAATTTTTATTTCGAACTATAAGCATATTTTACTCATTTTAGAACAATATAATATTTTGACGTTTTGTGGAAAAATGTTGTTTTTTCAGTGACGGAAAAAAAGTTTGGCATTTCATATCTGTTGGCAGGTTATAAAATGTCACAATTCATGAATTACATTTTTCCTGTGGGAAAAAAGTGAGTACTTTTTTCCCGGATATATATCACATATATATATACACTGTTGATGACTTTTGTTATTGTGCTATAGTTCCGAAAAATGAGTCAATAATACCGTCTCCGAGAAAGAACTGCAAGTCTGCAAATCTTCCATTCGACTTCGCGGTTACGTATATTACTAAACAACCACTAAATTTGCAATTTTTCGAGATCCAATCACAGAATTAGACTGACAGAAGTGACATCAGATACTTGATTACTTCAAAAGAATGATGAAGATGCCTACAACGCAGGTGTCCCTACTGTTAAAAACTTAAAAAATTTCACGTCGATAATTTTCAGATTATAAAATAATGTATTCTCTTTTCAATATTGATACGTCCTTTCTTCTATCGACGAAAAAAATAGTGTATTATACACGGGAAAAATATTAGATTTCAGCTCACGGTTTTTTGTCTCCCTCCGCTGCGCAGCCGAGTTAAAAAAATAGTCGAGTAGCATATTTTGCTGATTTCGCGCATTGTATCTAACCATTCCAACTAAATGAATATATATTTTCAAGAGAAAGTAGGTACATGCATAATTATATTCGATTTAACGAATAGGTGAGTATATATCGATAATCTTAGTTAGCTATATCTAAATATGAATTCATCATCCAATTTCACTAGGTACAACCCAACTCTAGTCTTTAGTGTTTATGTTATTTTCAATGTTGAGGCTCCATTAGAAACTTAGTTTGTGTCTGACCTACCGCTGGCGTATAGTTTAACTTCTGAAAATTTATTCACAGCGATTCAATAACAGGATCACTTTGAAAACTGCTACTTGATAATACTGAATCGCTGACGGCTGAAAAACAATAATAAAACGGTGGAATACTTCGACATCTGTATTCCAAAACCCCATAACACCTGATCCATACTCTATCTATATATACTTATATTTTAGAATGTTTCTTCAATATATCTGCACCTCAATAATGTTTTTATTGTATCATTATAGGTACAATGATACTTACCCAGACAGCACAGAATATTCTAGGAATATTCTGACAACGTTCATATATACTTATTATTTCAGAATATTCTCATAGAATGTTCTCAGAATGATCATAGATTATTCTGATTCTGCAAACAATATTATATGAACAATCTATTCGACATTTTCTCAGAATATCCTCTTTCAATATTCTGCGAATATTGTTTTCAAATATTCTGAGAATATTGAGATTTGTATCAGAATACATGATACTCATGTTCCTCCCCTTTTATCAATATTATAATGTTTACCCTGACACAATAACCAACTATTATTCTCTAGCATCAATGCTGATGATTATCCCACTATAATACAGTATTGTCATCTTGCTATTCATTTCATTCTTCAATAAGGTTCGTTGCGATCTGGTACGGTTTCAGGTTTGTAAAAATTCAGCTACAAGGTTGGTTCGCATATCCACCGGAGACAGCTTTTTTTAATATTCTTCCTTCTCGTTCAATACACTAGGAATATTCTCAGAATATTTGAATTCCGAATGTTCATAGAACGGAGCGCCGTGACCGACTTTGTCTATGTGCTTAAATTCGCTAGATAGCCGTTCACGATGCGAAGGTATTGTCGGTTCGAATCCGACTATGGGCTGAGCATTTTTCTTTGAAATGTGTGATTCATGGTTGTATTCCTGGCAGCACCTCGATGCCCTAGAAGTGGTTCGGATTCCACTATAAGCTGTAGATCCCGCTCTTCCTAACCCCGCACAAAATTTTCGACTTCTGGAGTAGAATCCCAACTTTGAAGTAGCGATATACAAAAAATAGAACGTCGCTAGAATATTTGCATCACATTGTTACAATATTCTGAGATAAATAAAATATTCAAGAAAGAAAAACTCGAAGTCATCTCCACAATTTTAATATTGAAAGATGCAGTCAACCCTCCTCCAATAAGGTTTGATATATGTTTAGGCCATTAAAATGGCCATCTTCAGTCGAATTAACATCAGAGTGTATCTACAATAGAAACCCGAACATGATTTTATATCATGAAGAAATTGAAAAAGCAAATCAAAAGTTGTAAATGCAAAATTGAATTAGTTAACAAATTTCAGTAGTATAAAAGAACAATGGTGATTATTATAAAGTATAACAATATTAAATACTGTCTGTAGGTTAATCGAGGAGGTTGTATATTCATTATTCCAAATTTTTTGGGATTTTCTCTCCTCGTTTCTATAAAATAAAAATATCAATATTATTTCAATATACGTGTAGTAAGGACAAATCAGATGATTTGCCCCAAAATGTCATTGCGTTTAAAGAATTTTCCTATCAGAGAGCCTAAAAGAAAAATTCACTAGCTTGTCAGTGACAATTTGTATTGAAAAATTTTTGGAGAAGAGAAATAAAGGTATATAGAAAAAATATCAAATTTTCACTTATCTTTGGACGTTTCGGGACCGATTCTGCTCCCGTTTTCAACATGAAGAGATTTTTTTCAATTGTCATTGGAAACTGAAAAGCTTCAAGACATATTTTATACGATTTCGCAATTGAAAAAATCTCTTCATGTTGAAAACGGGAGCAGAATCGGTCTCGAAACGTCCAAAGATAAGTGAAAATTTGATATTTTTTCTATATACCTTTATTTCTCTTCTCCAAAAATTTTTCAATACAAATTGTCACTGACAAGCTAGAGAATTTTTCTTTTAGGCTCTCTGATAGGAAAATTCTTTAAACGCAGTGACATTTTGGGGCAAATCATCTGATTTGTCCTTACTACACGTATATTGAAATAATATTCATATTTTTATTTTATAGAAACGAGGAGAGAAAATTCCAAAAAATTTGGAATAATGAATATAACAATATTATTGAGTAGTAATTGATGAGTGAAAAGTGAAAAAGTGAAAAAGCTAAATTTTCATTAAATCACAAATTCTGTTAACAAAATGGCGAACCAAAGGTAAGCAGGATTGACTGCATCTTTCAACATTAAAATCGTGGAGACGACTTCGAGTTTTACTTTCTTGATCATTCCACTCCACTTTGACTATGGACTACTACAGAAGATTATTAAAATACTCTCTAAGAATCCTATGAATTTCATTCATGCGTCAAATTAGGTATATCACTCAACCCCCTATTTCAGTTTTTTCAAAATGGGGGGGGTAAAGGAGTGTGTTCAAAAAACATAAATCGACGTGTTTCAGGGTTTTTCTAGAATTAATTTATCCTTCAATACCTACATATGTTGCGCACTGCATGAAGTAGGAGTATAGAGGCAGTATAAAACGATCGTAGAGGTAATCGTCCGGAGTAAATTTTTTTTTGATTTTGCCTTCCTACTCCTCTTTAATACACCAGAAATATTCTCAGAATGTTTGGAAACTGGTCATCTAGTACCCAGGTAGCAGAGTGACCGAAGAAGACATATATTATCATATTCATTTTCGGTCCACGATGTCACCAAAATATGGCCTAAAAATGACGTCTTATTTAATGACGTCTTATTGATATATAATATTGGAGGTCTTTCGGTCGTTTTCTTATATTTTCATCGTCTGTTCTACTAGGTAAATTCTAACGATATTCTCATATAAATAGAGCTGCGTACCTATATATTATAATGATAACGCCAGGACTGAACAGGACCATCATCGACCAATTAAGTCACCACAATGTATACAGTATGGAGACTTTAACTGGAATGAACTCGTTAGTGGGGAGGTGAATATTTTTTCTGGAAATCGAGAATATATATCCCTCCCTCAACATGATTTTTTCAAATGTAACCCTATGGCTTGTGAACCTTCATTGGAAAGATGGTAGAAAGAGGAATGTTAGTTTTTCATATTCGATTCAGCTTTTTGTGCACTTCTCAAATGTGTAAGCTGATTATGGAAATTCGAAAATACATGGTTTTCTTTGTGGGGGCTCATAAATCTGATCCATTTTCTTTAATCCGGACCTGGACTTTTTCCATGACTAACAGGTGATTCGCTTGGGTAGAAGAAGGAGGATTCGTGTACCAAACTCCAAAAAAATATACTATATATGTGGTTGGTAAGTTATGTCCTCACAAAAAAATGAACAAAATTCATAAAACACCCTATATCTTGCATATAAAACTTGCAAAATCCTACAAATATGGTATAATCTGAACCACCTTGATGAGTTTTCCATTTCCCAATGGGACACTCTGTATAACTGTCACCTGTAGGTATATAGGCATCACGAGGGGAGGCAACTAATATATATCGCACTCTTGCGACAAAAGTGTCACAAGTCAAAATTAGTTTTCAGGAAATACGAAAAACCTTCATTATCATCACTTTAAGAGCTATAGGTTTTCAGTTTTCTACGACCCGGTATAGGAACTTTGGAACGTTCGCTGTATAGCCGGTAAATATTTTTGTTATTCTAGCAGACGTGTATACATACTTTTTTATTATCCTAATATATAATTTTTCCGTGCACCGTTACAAATCATATGACTTGATGTTAAATATTTGTTG